AGAGACCCTCAATGAGATGGATTGACACAGTGGCTGCAACGATGGGCTCAGACATAGCAGGGATTGTGAGGCTGACGCAGGACCAGGCAGTGCTTCGTTCTGCTGTACATAGCATCGCTCTGAGTCAGAGCTGACTCAGTGGCACATAACAACAACCATCTATTAAGTGATTATCATTATCTCTCCCTCCTATCCCTGGAAACCATCAAAGAATATTGTCTTTTGTATGTAAACCTATTCTTGACTTTGTATAAAGTGGTCTCACACAATATTTGTCCTTTTGTGATTGACTTAATTCACTCCGCATCGTGTCTTCCAGATTCATCCATGTTGTGAGACATTTTGCAGACTCATCGTTATTCTTTATCGCTGTGTAGTATTCCACTGTCTGAATGTACCACATTTTGTATATCCATTTATCCATTGAGGGTCACTTAGGTTGTTTCTATCTCTAGTGCTCCAATGAACATGGTGTGCATATGTCTACTTAAGTCACTGCTCCTATGTCTCTAGGCTATAGCTCTAGGAGTGGGATTGCTGGATCACATGGTATTTCTGTTTCTAGCTTTTGCAGGAAGTGACATACCATTTTCCCTAGTGGTTGTTTTACAGGGGTTCCATTTTACAGTTCCACAAGCAGTGAAGAAGGAGCTCCAATCTCCTCACAACCTCGCCAGCATTCTTTTCTTTTTTTTTGATCAGTGCCATTTTTTGGAGGGCCACCTCCTGTTTTTGTAAATAAAGTTTTATTGGAACACAGCCATGCCCATTTGTTTCTGTATTGTCTGTGGCTCCTTTCATGCTATTCCAGCAAAGGTGAGTGGTTGCAACAGATGTTAGATGGCCTGCAAAACCCAAACTATTTACTCTCTGTCCTTTTACGTAAAACATTTGTGGACCTCTGGACTAATCACTTCTCCAAATGGGAAGTCCAGAACCCTCTCCCTAAATTATGGAGCAAGAAGGAGAAATGTATGTATTGTAGCCAACTGCCAGGGCCACTCCCATATCATTTGAGCACTCACCATCTGACAGCACCTGGGGCTCTTCGCCTGAGAACTTTCTCTGGCCGTCAGAGCTGGCTTGGCCTGCACGTGCACAGCCAGCCAAACAAACAAAACCCACTGCTGTGGAGTCAATTCAGACTCACAGTACCCCTAGAGGACAGAGTAGAACTGCCGCATAGTGTTTCCTAGGCTGTACCTAAGGCACTTGAGTGCTAACCAGAAGGCTGGTGGTTCAAACCCATCAGCCACCCCTTGGAAGAAAGGTTGGGCAATCTACTTCCGTAGTGATACTGCCTCGGCAGCCCAAGGAGGGGTCGCTATGAGTTGGGGCCGAATCGACGGCACGTAACAACAACAAAAATCTTTATGGAAGCCGACTGCCACAGTCAACTCTATTTCCTGAGGAGTGGCTGGTGGGTTCAAACACTAACCTTTCTGTTATTGGCCTAGTGCTTAACCATTGTGTCGCCAGGTGGAAAGTAGCCCTTTGCAAGTGGAAACTGCAAGCTTCTCCTCCCTCCAGTGGGAAAACTGAGGTATGTGCTGTAGGCAGCCTCCCAGAGGTCCCTTGTGGATGGAGCCCTAGTTACACACCTGGAAACTTCCTCACGAACCCACCTGCATTCCCTCCTTCCCTTCCTTCTTACATTCCCACCCTCTCTTGCTGCTTCCTGGAAGCATGTCTCAGATAAACAACTTGCCTTCACATCGTTATCCAGGGATAAGGATCAACTTATCGGTCGACTCCCTGGAGGAAGCCAATCTAGGATGTAATATGATTTAAAATTCGAAGTTACTAATAGAACAGCTTAAAAACGGTTGTAGTAACAAAATTCAAAAACACAAAAATGACCAGAATTACTGGTTGGATGGATACTGGCAGAACCTGCAAGACTATGGCCCCGGATTACCCTTCAGCCCTGGAACTGGACTCACTTCTGTGCATTGGCTCTCAGCCCAACAGTAGAAAGACCTACATGCAGAACACCTACCCCAGGGAGATGCACCCACCTACTCTAGGGAGATGCATCCCTGAGATCCATCAGCTGTGAGACACCAGAGGGGCAGCACTCACACAGAGGGAAAGCTGGAAAGACGAGTGCACAGATAAGAAGGGCACAGGGAGACCAATATGACACCATTGAGGATGAGAAAGACAGAGAGAGGTACATGGGAGGTACAGACAACAAATATGAACCCTTTTGCATATACAGTACTGTGTTGTCAGTGAAGGCAAACATGGGTATATGGGTGGGTAGATGGGTGGACAGGCTAAACAATTAGGTATGTCTATGAAATGTGGAGTGTATCCAAGAACATATATAGAGTTGGCAGACAGTGGTCCTATAAGTTTATGTGAATAATCAGAATTCCCAGGTGTATAGTAGAGCTAGCTGACAAGGGGCAAGGTTGTGGTCACTGCTTGGTCACAGCCAGCTACCCAGAGGGACCGAGTAGTTGAACCTGCAGCCTTGGGACCATAGTCGCAGGGGACATCAAGCTCAATTGGCATAACATACTATACAAAACATTGTTCCACCTCCTACTTTGGTGAGTAGCGACTGGGATCTTAAAAGCTAGCAAGCTGCCATCTAGATGCAACGATGGGTCTCTCCTTATCCAGAGCAAAGAAGAACGAAGAAAACCAAAATTCATGGAAACAATTAGTCCTAGTGACTAATTGGGAAGATCTGATCTGCAGCCTATACGACTATGAGACCAGAAGAACTAGTTGGTGCCCAGCTACCACTGTCATCCATGTGGAAGGGGATCTATGTAGGAGATCCTTGATAGAGAGGGAGAACAATGTGGAAACAAAACCTCAAAATCATTTGGAGGAAAAAAAAAAAAAAGGTGGGGACCAGATTTGCTGGTCCGATAGAGCCTGGTGGAACCACTGAGACTATGGCCTCTAGCTGCCTTTCATGTCTGGAACTGAACCCACACTTGTGGTTTCCAGCCAAACAAAATACAGGCATATGAGTTGAACATTTACCTGAGGTAGATACACTCCTTGGAGAGAAGAATCATGGGAGAAAGAAGGGGTGCTTACGCACAGGGAGACAGCTCAGAGGGCAGGAGTGCATGGAGGGATGGACACTGGGAAGAGGTAACTATGGGGAGGAAGTGGAAGGGGAGCTGTTGCACTGTGGTAAACTGTGGTCAATGTCATGAGGCAAAGTGAACTGCTGTATGGAAAGTGAATTTGCTCTGTAAATCTTCACCCAAATCACAATAAAAAAAAAAGAGCACAGGGAGGGAATGGCCACAGGGACAGCAGGGGAGGAGAGCTCTTTATGGTGGGGGATGGTAATTGGGGTCGTGAAATCAAAAGTGCATGAACTGGTGAATGTAAAACAAATCTGCTTTGTAAATTGACACCACAAGCACAATTAAAACAAACAAAGAAAGAGAAAAATTGTAGCAGTAGTATGTCAACAGGGAACTGCCGGAAATGCAAGCTGGATTCAGAAGAGGACATAGAAGGAGGGATATTGTTGCTGATGTCAGAGGGATCTTGGCTAAAAGCAAAGAATACTAGAAAGATGTTTACCTGTGTTTTGACTATGCAAAGGCATTCAACTACATGAATCATAGCAAATCATGGATAACATTGCAAAGAGTGGGGATTCCAGAACGCTTAGTTATGCTCATGCAGAACTTGTACATAGGCCAAGAGGCAGTTTTTGAATAAAACAAGGGGACAATGCATCGTTTAAATGAGCAAAAGTGTGAGTCAGAGTTGCATTCTTTCTTTTTTTATTATTTTCAGTTTTTGAAACATTTTAAGATTGTAATTTGAGTGAAGTTTTACAGAGGAGATTCATCTTCCGTTCAACAGTTCCCACCATTTGGTTTTCTGACACTGATTACAATCCCCACAGTGTGACGGCTCTCCTCCCACTCCCTGCCGGTGGTCACCCTTTCCCCGTGTCCTTCCTTCCTATGCATTCCTGCTCCATTAGCTTTCTCCCTGCACGAATGCCGCCCTTCTGATCTCCCATGGTTAATTCTTCTACAGAGTGCATCTCCCCGGAGTGTGTTCATCTTGTAAGCTTGTCCAATGTTTGGCTCAGAGTTAAGCCACGTGAGTGAGTTCAATTCTAGGCCCAAAGGGTGAGTAGGGGCTGTCATCTTGAGGGTTTCACCAGTCTATATCAGACCGGTAATCCCGGTCTTTTTATGTTTTTGAATGTTGTTCTCCATTTTTCTCCCATTCTATCCAGGATCTCCTATTTTGACCCCTTTTCACGTGACTGGCAGTGGTAGCTGGGCACCATCCTGTTCTTCTGGTCTCAGGGTTACGTAGGCTGAAGTTCCCATGGTCCACTAGCCCCTTGAACTAATTGTTTCCATGTGTCTTTGATTTTCTCTTTTGAGGAGAGAACAATATTTGCATCTCAGATGGTCATTCATAAGTTTTTAAGACCTGAGTTGCTAATCACCAGTGTAGGAGGTAGAATGATGGTTTTGTGTAGTATGTTATGCCAATTGAACTTTTTTTTTTTTTTTAGTTGTGATTTGGGTGAAGAGTTACAGAGCAAATTCAGTTTCCATATAGCAGTTTACATATACTTTGTCTCATGACATTGACCAGTTTACCACAATGCAACAGCTCCCCTCCCACTTCCTCCCCATAGTTACCGCTACCCAGTGTCCATCCCTCCATGGACTCCTGCCCCTAAGCTGTCTCTCTGTGCATATATGCCAATTGAACTTGATGTTCCTCAAGACCATGGTCCCAAGGCCACAGGCCAAGCGACTCCCTCAATGTCCTTGATTATGGCTAAGAAGTCAACTTTGTCCCTTGTTAGCTCTATTACATATATGGACATTTATATAGTGCATTCAAATACATATGTAGGAATATCATCTGCCAAACCATGGGTGTGTTCCGGTTCACCTACCCATACCTGGTCATCTTGCCTGTCTACCAATGTATCCACCGGTAGGTTAATGTTTGTTGTTGCTGATAATGCAGTGTTGTGTATGTAATAGTATTGACCTTGTTGTCTGTACCTCTGTGCACCTCTCCAGGTCTTCCTTTTCCTTAGTGATAATGCGCTGGTCACATGCTTTTGTTATATTGTCTTTCCCTTCATCCAAATCAATACGTGTCTCTTAACGAACTAGTAATTTTCCCTCCTCTCCCTTCCCATCTCTGGCAAAAAAAAAAAGAAAGAAAATTTTCTTCTGTAAGGTTATACCCTTTCACCATACTTACGAAATCTGTATGCTGACCAAATAATCTGAGAAATCGGGCTGTGTGAAGAGGAACATGGCATCAGGATTGGAGGAAGACTCATTAACAACCTGAGGTATGCAGATGACACAACCTTGCCTGCCGAAAGTGAAGATGACTTGAGGCACTTACTGATGAAGATCAGAGACTACAGTCTTCAGTATGGATCACACCTCAACATGGAGAAAACAAAAATCCTCACAGCTGGACCACTAAGCAATAAATGGAGAAATAAATGGAGAAAAGGTTATTGACAAGGACTTCATTTTACTTGGATCCTCAATCAAAGATCATGGAAGCAGCAGTCAAGAAGTCAAATGATGTATTGCATTGGGCAAATCGGCTGCAAAAGACCTCTTTAAAGTTCTAAAGAGCAAAGATGTCACTTTGAAGACTAAGGTGCTCCTGACCCAACCTATGGTATTTTCAGTTGCCTCATGTATGTGCAAAACCTGGGCAACGAATAAGAAAGACCACAGAAGAATTGATGCCTTTGAACTCTGGTGTCAGTGAAGAATATTGTATATACCGTGGACTGCCAGAAGAATGAACACATCTGTCTTGGAAGAAGTACAACCGGAATGCTCCTTCGAATGGAGGATGGAGTGCTTTGGACATGTTATGGAGAAACCAGTCCCTGAAGAAGAACGTGTGAGTAAAGGAGAGAGTCAATGAAAAGAGGAAGACCCTCAATGAGACAGATTGACACTGTGGCTGCAACAATGGGCTCCAACATTGTTAGGATGGCCCAGGACTGGGCAATGTTTCTTTCTGTTGTGCAGGGGGCGCTTTACCATTTGCCCGCGTGTCACAATGTGATGGCTTTAATGTGGCTGTGATGCTGGAAGCCATGCAACTAGGATTTGAAATACCAGCAAGGTAATCCATGGTGGACAGTTTTCAGTGAAGCCTCTAAACTACCAAGAAAGTAGAAAGAAAGGGCTGGCAATCTACTTCTGAACGTCAGCGGATACAAATAAAACCCATGGATCACAACAGAATATTGTCACACAGTGCTGGAAGATGAGCCCCTGGGATGGAGGGCACTCAATACGCAGTGGCTGCAACTATGGACTCAGCCAATCAACGAGGGTGCAGATGGGGTAGGACCCGCAACCGTCCTTCGGTATACAAAAGGACTCTGACTTACGGCTGAAAGGCTACTCACAACGTATCTATCCCCATTTTCTTTTTCTCTTGTCAGCTACTCCTGAGGAACAGATGACTGAGGTGAGAAGGAGAATTAACTCTTCATTGTCTTTGCAAACTGTGTTACAGGGTTTGAAATTTTGGCCACGTGCAAGCATTTCCTACTGTTACAAACTATTAAAGAACAAAAGGGCTTGTTGGGGTGAGGGTAGGTGGAGACATCATGCCAGGGGTGAGATGGAATAAGGGGACACGGGGAGGCTGTTGCTTTTCGTTCTAAGCCTTCCCATATAGTTTATTCTTTTATTTCACCACGGACGTGTGCAACTTGAGCTAAAATTTAAAATCCCGGTGGCACGCACGGTTAAACAGAGACACAGCCCTTTTATAGAATTTTGCCTGCTGGGGAATTAAATTAGCAAAGTCGGGGCAAACATTAACTCCCAAACTGCCCCTTGGTCGCAAAACAGAGAACCCGAGGGGAGCGGCGTTACCGCTCCAACCGCCTCCCCGAAGTCACCCGGGCGATGACCGCGAGTGGCCCCGCTGTGGGGCTGGGTTAGGAGAGGGTGGTGCGTCCCGGCTCCGCGCTCTGATTGGCCGCATTCTCAGACGAGTGCGGAGTGAGGGGGGCTCCTCAGAACAGCCTCTTGCAGAGCGAGTGTGGGGCGTGGTCCAGGTGGTGGCCCCGCCCCGCCTGGCCTCCAGCCCTAAAAGTCCCTGGGCTAGCGACGCGTGGCTGCTGTCGCTGTCGCCGCCGAACTCCGGGAAGCGCAGAGCCGCGCACTGGGTAAGGGGGAGCCCCAAGTGGCCGCCCCGCGCCGCGCCCCCTTTCCAACTTGGCGTGGGTTCCCTGGGCAGCCCGTAGGGGTTGAGGGAGGGTCTTATTGTTTAGAGACAGAGAGTGGCCCCCTCCAACTGCCTTCCCAGTTCTGCCCAGTTTTGGTTATGGACATGGGCTTTTTTCCGCTTCTCTTTTACCCAGACTTTGCGCGCTCGCCGTGAGTCCTCTGTGCTTCCGGAAAACTCCACACCCATCCAGGGCGCGTGTTCCCTGCGCGCCTAACTGGGCACCTCGGAGCGCACTGCCTGGGCGCTGGGGAGGGTGGGAGAGGGACGACCCACTGGAGTCCTCTTGGTCCGGCCGCAATTCCTGGCCCTGGGACTCGTTCCCCTTCTGTCTACCTCAAAGGTTGGTCAGAGACTGCACCTGCCCACAACCCGGTGGAGTGGGCGCCAGCGCCCTCTGGGGTCGGTAGCCGCCCTTCGAGGTACTGGGACCTCCACTTGGCTATTCGTCGGTGGGCCACCCTCCTCGGACGTGGGTTCCAGCGCTGGCTCCACGTTTCAATACCATCTGCTTTCATGCGCCTCAGTTTCCCCACGGGTAAAATGGAGCTGTGGATTCCAGTGACGCAAACGGTGCTCTGGGAGCTAAACTAACGGAGAAGTTGGCAGTTCAAACCCACCTGGTGGCTCCGCGGGAGAAAAGACTTGGCGATCATGTTCCGTAGATTCCAAACCCGAACCAAACTCACTGCCATCGAGTGGGTTACGGTTCATAGCGACCCCCTTCGGGTTTCCGAGGCTGTAAATCTTTATGGAAGTAGATTGCCCAGTCTTCCTTCCTCGGAGTGGCTGCTGGGTTCGAACCGCCAACCTTCTCCTTAGCAGTCAAATGCCTTAGTCACTGCACCCCCAGAGCTCCTTTCCGTAAAGATTACAGCCTTGGAAACTCGACGGGGCAGTTCTACTCTGTCCTCTAGGGGCGCTGTGAGTCGGAATCTACTCCACCGCAGTGGGTTAGATTTGGACGTTTCTTCCTTAAATTACAGCCTTGGAAACCCTACCGGGCAGTTCTGTTCTGTCACAGGGGCTCGTCATGAGTTGAAAATCGACTCCACGGCACCTCATAGCAACAACAAAATGGAGTTAACCTCACCCAGGCAGAAGTAGGGTGCTGCATTTGTTCTGCGTACTGTGCTACTTGGTGCTGGGGGGAAGGCATGGGGTGGGTGTCGGCAGATCTAGAGGCGGGTGCCAAGAGGGGAGACCCATGGGTGAAGGCATCATCGGAAACAGTCTGCGGCTGGGCTTTTCAAAACGGAGGCCGCCAGCCCCTTATGCCTACTGAGCTCTGGAAGCGAGCCTAGACCACAAGTGTAAAATAGCGTCAATACGTTTAAAAATGCACACCTACTTTGGGACACACAGTACAAAAAACCCACAAGGCTTGTTTAACGTTTGTTTGCTTCCCAGTCTTGTTCAAGCCGGAACGAAGCTGGTGATAACACCATCTCCCAGCCAGTAGTGCTAGGAAGTGGCTGGGCTCCAGAGACGTTGGTTATTTGGGACAGACGTGCAGGTGCCCAAGCCGAGTGACCTGATGCTGGGCAAGGGCTGGGTGTTAGGAGCGCAGCCTCCTGGCGGGTCCCTCCCTTCAGGGGAGGGATCCGTTCCTGGGCCCCTGGGCTGGCACTGGGTCTGACTCTGAGGCTGCCTGGGTCAGAAGGAAAAGAACCCTTGGGGAGGCAGGCTGGGGATCGCCAAGTGTGGACCACTCGCTTTCCACAGGCAACTGAAAAACCAAAAGCAAACCCCTGGCGGTGGAGTCTATTTCGGCTCCTGGCGCCCCCGTGTGTTACAGAGTAGAACTGCCCCATAGGGTGTCCTTGGCTGTTATCTTTACTGGAGGAGCTCTGGTGAGAAGGTGGTTATGCATTTGGCTGCTAACCCAAAGCTCAGCGGTTTGAACCCACCAGCCGCTCAGCGGGAGAAAGATATGGCAGTTTTAAAGATTACAGCTTTGGAAACCTATGGGGCAGTTCTACTCTGTCTTATGTTGTTATGTTACGAGATGGATTGACACAGTGGCTGTGACAATGGGCTCAAGCATGGCAAGGATTGTGAGGATGACGCAGGACCGGGCAGGGTTTTGTCCGATGGCACCTATCAA